AAAATATCTTCCATTGTCCAACCCATGATCTGACAGCTTGTATCTGAAGCTTTCTTTGCTTCTGTGATTCCAAACATGTCAACTGCTGACATTTTTTTCCCTTTTAACCAGTGTCTCTTAAGTTTAGTTGTACTGTCTCCAAGGGAAGGTGACGTGTCCTATAGAACTCCTGTGTAGATTATGTTTTCCTTTGTGGGGCACGCTCTCAGCACCTCCTCCCGACGGCTTTTCCTGTGTACCTGCAATATGCCTCTTCGCTATTATCTGAGGTGACTTCCACCGGTGTGCTGCTTCCAGGCTTCCCCTCTGCCCAGGAGCACGTTCTCTGTGTCCCCAGCACCTCCTTCTGATGGCTTGGGAGGGTGGAGGGACAGCGCAGGAGGGGAAGACCCTCTATGAGATGGATTGATTCGGTGACTGGGGTAATCGGGATGGATGTGTCAGAGGCAGTGCGGTTGGCTCAGGATGGAGCAGGGTTTAGGGCTGTTGTGCATAGGGTCGCTATGAGTCGCAAATGACTCGACGGCACATAACAACAACAACAACAACAAATGATAAAGACTCAAAACCAAATCTGTCAATTTTAACCAGTGATCTAGATATTATTACAACTTAGCGTCCATTTGACTGACTGGCTGACTGACTGGTCCATTGATTTATATGACAGTCTAACTGCAGACACAATGAGTAGTATGGCATGGCTATGAAGCCACTTGGCCTGTATTGTTATTGTTGTGTACAGTTGAGTTGGAACCGACTCATAGCTGACTCTCTGGTTGGCTTTCAGAGGTAGTTAATCACACAGGCAGAGATTGTCCATCTTTCTCCCATGGAGCAGCCACTGGATTAGAACTCTGTGCCTTTGGAATTGCAGCTCAACTTCTTAACCCTGGGCGACCACAGCTCCCTTTACTTATAGAGAGGGGTGAAACTACCCAAAACCTAAGGTTTATAATCTTCTGATTAATATTATCCTTATCTACATGTATTTGACTTCTCTGTGTGACTTCTCTATTGTATTGGGAGGGAACTTTGGTGACCTAATGGTAGAAAGCTGCCTTGCAATCCCAAAGACATGGTTCAAATCCACCTGTTACTGTGCAGAAGAAGGATGGGCAGTCTTTTCCCATGTGATTTACCACCTTTGAAGACCCACCAGACACTTAGCTCCTAGTCAGTTTTACTCAACAGCGCACAATGAGAACAGCCTTCTGTAGTGAGTTCTGGTAGCATAGTCCATAGGTGGTTGAAGTACTAACCCAAAAGGTAGTGCTTGTCTGGCTTTGTGAATCCACTAGCAACTCCGCTGGAGAAAGATGGCCAGTGTCTTGCTGTGCAATTTACAGTTTTTGAAAAACCCTATGGAAGGTCAGCTGTAAGTCAGTTCTAGTTGGATAGCAATGAATTGAGTTTTGTATTGTATATGATAGGAAGCTTTCGTGGCCAAGTG